ATCTGGTCCCCTCCATAAAGGATGGAGACTGCACCAGACCCACAGCACAAGCTATCAGGTCCAACTCACACCCCCCCACCCCCACTCATGAAAAATTTATCTAACCTTTTTTTAAAAACTACACAACTTTTTTAGCCCAATAACTGTACTCGGGAGTTTTGTTCCACCTCCACAATCTATTACCAAAAAATGCTTTCTATACCTTCCGAATCTAATTTTTCCAATTTGAAACCATTGCTGCGAGCATGTCTTGGCTGGAAATTTTTCACAGTATTTATATCCCCTTTATTTATTCCTGTTTTCCATTTTTTACACCTCGATCATATCCCCCCTAATTCTACGCCTTTCGAAGAGTGCAATTCAGACCCCTCAGTCATCCTCATAGGGAAGATTTGATTGAAGTTTGAGACACTTATGCAACATATGGGAATTTTATTCGGGAACGTTTCCCCAAAAACCGTGGCTTCACAGTCCGAACAAAGTGAAAGGCGAAAAGGAGAGGAGGAGTTTGAGGAATAGTCCCTCGCCTGGAGCGATGTTTCACCCATCAACTTTAGAATTGATGGACGAACACACACTCCAGCTGAGGACTGATTACCTCAAACCCCCTTCCTTACCCCTTTCTACTTTGAAACGGCGTTTTAAGCCACTGTGTGGAAAAAACTTTCCCTGAATAAAGTTCCCATATTTCTAATCTCTCAATCTTCAACTTGTGGGTTTTTTTCAAACCATTCATCACAAGATTTCTGATACATGGGATCATCTTTGTCATTCCCTCTGTACTTTTCCGAGCATTTATATCCATTCTGTAAACGGTGACCAGAACTGAGCGCTGCAAATAGGCCTAACCAAGGATATATAGAGTAAAGAAAAACCCGAGGACTTCTATTATTTATACTTCTAGATATTAACCAAGAAATTCTGTTACTTTATTGCGAACACTAATGCACTGTTGCTTGGTTTTAGTTTACTGAAAACCCAGAACTCATAAACCCTTTTCGAAATCATATTTAAGATCTACATTATTTATTTTATAGTGGCAGGGTTTTTTAACTGCCCAAAATTTTAGAACTTTGCATTTTAATTTTAAACTGCACGCCACTTCTCCCCGACCATTGCATCAGTCTATTCAAACTCCTGGGAGCTCTAGTGTCCTCATTGAAAAATTTGGGATGGCCTTTTTTTGGTGTCATCAAAAATTTTGCTTATGTCGCTATTTATTCCCCACTATGTCGTTTATGTAAATTGGAACAACAACGGGCCCAACACTGACCCCGAGGAACACCGTTGTGACGTCCCCCTTTTCTGATTTCTCCCCTTTTATGCAAACTCGCTGTTTTCCTTTGTCAGCCATACTCTCCCCAGAAAAAAATTCTCCCCCTATTCCGTGTGCCTTAAATTTCCTCAATATCCTCGGGTGTGGAACTCTATTGAAAGCCTTGCTGAAGTCCAATACACAATATCATATCATTCCCATGATCTACCCCTCAAACACCTTAGTGAAAAAAAATTGTAAATTCGAGGACAGGAAAGCCCCCCTTTGTAAAACTGTGTTGAATTTATTAATCAAACTGTGCCCGTCAAAATGGTACAAAATTTCTTCGGGAATTATTTTCCAAAAATTTTCCCTAAGGAGGTAGGCTTTTGGTCTAAGTTCGAAAACCAAGGACCTGTCACCCGCCCTTTTAAATAGTTATTACATTTGCCTTTTCCCTTATCAGGGACTATCCATTTGTAGGTATGTTAAAAAGATAGCCAAAGGTATGCTAATTCCTCTTTTCATTCTTAACACCCTTGCAAGCAAGTATCAGGGACCTGGGGGTTTGTTAGGTTTTTGTTTCTCTATTTGTCGAGGACCATGTCCTATTTACCGCAACATACATAGTTTTTATCCCCCGTTCACATAATCTATTATTTCAGGAATACGCTAGTATTTTCCTGGGTGAAAACTGGAGGAATAGGGATTGAGAAATTCCACATATCCTTTTCACTGTCATGATCTGACCTGAGTTACTCTTTAATTTTGGCCCCTTCCTGTCCCCATCTTACTTCTGTAAACTGAAAAAAAACCCTTTTGAGTTATCTTTGAATCCCTTGCGACCTTAGCCTATATCCCTTTTTTTCTTTTTTTTATTCCTTTCTTTATTTCTCCCCTTTTAAATTTAAATATTGATTTCTTAACTGCCCAAACCCCCCTTTTTATATGCCTAATATGCCTCCCCTTTTTTGCCAATGAGATGTTTTAATCTATTGTTGCCATTTGGGAAATTTTTTGTTTAAACTAATTTCCTATTGGAACAAAATTGTCTGGGCAGCTAGAACTTGCTCTGAAAAACTCATTTTTGGCAGCCAAAAATCACCTACCGCCCTGCAGGGGCTCCCCAATTTGCCCACCAGGGTTTTATTTCAGTCCCATGAAGTCGGGCCCCAAAAAACCCTTTTCTCAAGAGGCGAATGCACCCAATTTCTGTTTCTGGCAAAGGGTCGAAATACAAAGGAAACCGGGATAATTAAAGGGACTATAAAAAATCTGAAAAAAATCTAACAGGAGAGAACTTGCGCTTGAAATCCAAGTTGGACAAAAATAAAAGATTTTAACAGCTAAAGAGAGAACAAAAGTAAGCTAGTCGGGGAAGCATGGAAGAAAGATTCGTGAAATTCCAACCTACCGGGCAGGTCAGGGGCGGTGTGACCCGAAAATTTAAATAAATTTTTGGGTTTGGGAACGCATAAAACTGAAGGGGGGCTGCTAGTAAAATTTTTGTGGAAGTGAACGTCGAGGTAAGGACTGTTTTTATGTCTTGTAAAATGAAGTGAATGGGAAAAATCAAATTTACTCAACAAGGCCCCTGTATTTTAATCACTTGGGTAAATCACACATGTGTTTTACTAAGGTAGCTATCACTAAAGGTTAATAATAACCCCGGACTAGAGAAGGCTCGTAGCTTGATTCGCCTTTGAGCCGGGCAAATCAAGCATGTGGGCGAGCTGAGGATGCTCACCATAAAACATTGTGGATACTCCAGCAGGGATGATGCACACCCATCGGCTTCAAGCACCCCATGAATTTACTCGCTCGGACTGGAAGACGGGGTCTTGGGCACGTCTGTCTATGTTTTTTCCTTTGGTTACTGAAGGAGAAATAACACTTGTATGCACCATGTTCCCTTTAAAAAACTGTACAAAGGGGCAGAGGAGTATGGCCTGGGGTCCCCCCGTCAAGCAGCCTAGCGAATCCCCCCATGGAGGCTTGGGGGCCGAGATTCGCGACATCATCATGGAGTGTGTCATAAGGTACATCGATGACATCCCGCAATCTCCCCCAACAACCCCTTTTAATCTCATTTAGTTTTATGGACTCGTTTTTTGCATGGGCTCGACAACCTCGTCACTGCCGGCCACTGAAGAAATCAAGCTCTATGAAACACAGAACCCTTGGGCCAAGGGTTTACTTATTACCAAAAAACCCAATGCTTCATCCCCTGTGAAGGTCACCTTTATGACGTCACATGGGAGTCAGAGCTCTCGTGGGGCCTGGCATTCACTATTTTCCCATCAACCCGCCTTCATTGAAGCAGAAAATCCCAAAAAATCTACATGCTATAATTGTTACTCATACTTACACACCACAAATGATTGTCCTACCAAGAACAAGAAGTTCTGCTCCACCTGTGGCCGTGAGGGTCATGACTTCAAGAATTGCACTACTGCTTCACCACCTAAATGCTTGAACTGCAAGAATGACCACCATACTCTTGCTGCCAGGTGCCCTACCAGAAGAGACATAATCAAGAAACAACAACAACAACAACAACAAAAGAAGCCCAACCCACAAGTAACCACATATTCTGCTATCGCCAAGCTTCAAGCAAGATTCTTTATTGCATTATGTATGCTCATGTACAGAATGTAGCTGAGCCTGGTTCCTTCAACACCACCATCAATGAACTCTTCAAATATGCCTGGTTTTACATTCCCGGCATCTCCACCTTCCACTGAGATCCTAAAATCTACTGCAAATGTTACCAGCATCACCGGTGCTCCACCGTTGTCACAACTTCCACTCAACACAGAGATGGACCAATCAGAGGCCACTGAGTCGTCGGCAAACCCCACCAATAAGAGTTCACCACCGCCTGCTCCCACTACTAGCACAACTGACCAATCAGAAACCATGCCGCGACCAGCTCAGCCACCAGCCAAGAAAGCTAAAACACAGTAACCTGGGGATACATCACACCATGCCACTGCCACTACTGCACCAACACAAGGACTCAGCCACTTGCGTGGTGTCTACCTTTACACTACTAACTAGTATAACGACAAAATGTACACTTCAGAAGTCTCCCAGCGCCTCCAGGACGGAACAGTCAAGTTTACCTGCGAACCGACTTGTTCATACAACACCGAAGACGTGCACAGACTGCTCAGCAAGCACCAAACCCTTATGGAAGTCGACTACACCTCAAGGAAGAAGTTCAGGACTCTCCAGAATAGGTCTCGTGAGGAAGGTATGCTTCGTGGTGCCTTCCTCTAAGGCATCCATCAACAACCAATCACCGTGAACACAAGTTTCCCCAGGACCTGATGCCTGCTAAAGCTGGGGTGTGGCTCCAATCGACCCTGTATTTGCTGCCTCTGGCCGCCTGCGCTTCTGAAGCAAGAAGACACTTCCCTCCTGGGAAGTCAGTGTAGATAGAAGAAGAAGACATCCTCCAACCGGAGGGCCAAGAAAGAAGAAAGAAGAAAGAAGATGAACGTCGCCCTCCACCCGGGTGGCCACTGCCGGGTCACCATCTGGAGAAGACCCGGGCCGGAAGTACCGGCGAATCAACACGAATGAAATGAACACTGGTAGCAGCTACTTTAGTGTAATGACTTGTGTGCCTAAATGCTTGAAGATTAAAGCTTTGTTGAATCACTCGTTTATAAGTGACTTATCTGTACCACAGCCTGAAAGACAGTGCTGCAGCTCGAGTTGCTGTTGTCTGCAAGTGGATTTAAATTTGATATGGGCGTGTTGAGGGTGGTGGTGTGGGGCGAAGGTGATTCAGCATTGTGTGTGTTAAATGTGCGTATTGTGGGCAGTTATGAAACAGTAGGCAGACTGCGACAAATGGACGTGTTATGGGCAAGAGTGAGGATGGGAGGAGTATATCAAATGGGCAGTGGTGGGGACTGTGGGTAAGCAGAGTGGACAGAAAGGCATGTTGTGGGTATGGGTGAGGAAGGGGATGGGCAGAGTGCAACAAATGGGCGTGTTGTGGGTGGGACTTACTATGATGCACAGCTCTCATCGGCCCTGACCTGTCCTGGTCCAGCTGGTTCGACGACTCCGTCCGGGACGAGGCCGGTGGGTCAGTGTCGGAGTCGGAGCCGAATGTGTCGTACTCCTCACTCTCCGATTTGACCGAGCGCGGCCCTGGCGTCGGGTGCCGTCCACGGACACCTAAAACGCTACCACCTTTGCCTCCTCCTCCTCCTCCGCCGCCGCCGCCGCCGCCGACCCCTCCGCCACCACCATTGCCGCTACCATCTCCACTTCCGACACGGCAGTAGGTCTCCCCAGTGCTTGACAAGCGCTGGGAAAGAAAAAATACACCTACAAGGAAATTTCACCATACACAAAAAGACCCACATGTTGATGAGGAGACTTAAGACGACGTTTCGGTACCTCTTGGACCATTATCAAATTGTAACTTTATAATCCAGGATGAACTGAAACGTTGTCGAAAGATATAATATCTATGGAAAAAATATGTTAATGAAGTAAATAAAGACCCTCTCGAAGTACTAGGCTTAGTTCTGCCAAGCAGCAAAAACATTGAATGACCTGAAAGAGACACAAAGCACACACCTAATAATTTTTCTTGGGTGTCCTGCAACCACTAATATACTTAGCATGAGGAAAGAATTAGGTATGCCTAATACTGAATGGTTTTGAAAACTGACAAGTTGAAGACTGAGACACTTATGCATCATATGGGAATCTTTATTGAGGAAACGTTTTGCCACACTGTGGCTTCATCAGGAATTCTTCAGGAATTCTTTCATCAGAAGGTAAAAAAGAAGGAACACTGCAACAGGCCTACTGACCCATTTCATACTTGTCCAACCATTGGACGAAGACCTACTTACACTAGTGGATGGTTCCACTGTGATCCCGCCTCTTCCTGCTTCCACTCACCTGACTACAATATATGAGCCACTTCTCCGGCCATATGCTGTACTTTATACAAGAGTGATGGACTGAATACATCGATTCCAGGCTGATGGACTGATTACCTAAAACTCCTCCTCTCCTTACACCTTTCTGCATTGCATTGAACAGATGAAGCCACTGTGTGGCGAAACGTTTCCTTAATATAGATTCGCATATGTTGCATAAGTGTTTCTATATTCATCATTGTTATGACCGGACTGAGGCTGCTGCATGGTGATCAAAACATTTTTATCTCAAGAGATTTACCAGAATGTATAAGTCACAAGAACATAAGAAGGAGTGTTGCAGCAGGCCTACTGGCCCATGTTAAGCAGGTCCAAATCACACCCACTTAACGAATGAGTACTGCTGTAGGACCAATAGCCTATGCTAGGCATGTCTAACTCACACCCACCCACACCCACTCATGTACTTGACTAACCTATTTTTAAAGTTACTCAAGGTTTTAGTTTCCATGACTCACAAGAGATGTTAGGACATTTCCTGCCACCCTGACGGGTAACAGCTTTAAACACCAGCAGGAGCTCTGGAAGACGTATATACAGGACTTGTAGGTCAAATGTAATAACGCATAGACTACGCTGATGTCTCCCTTAACTCTGACAGCGGGAAAGCGGGAAATGCTGTGATCGTAAACTAGGTAAATTAGACACATGTGCAACACTTGGTATCTATGGATTCGAAAACTAACTCAAAAGTTTTTTTCCAGGTTTATAGAATAAAAGTTAGAGAAAAGATTGGTCCCCTTAAAAATAACTCTGGGCATCTTACTGACAAGGAGAATGAAATGTGCTCTATTTTTAATAATTATTTTCTCTCGGTTTTCACACAAGAAGACACTAACAATATCCCAGTAATTATTTTTTATAGTGGGCCTGAAAAAGATAAATTATGTAATATAACAGTCACTAGCGATATGGCTTTGAAACAAGTAGACTGAAACAAAATAAATCGCCGGGCCCTGGTGAGCTTTTCCCAAAGGGTTCTTAAGGAATGCAAAATGGAACTCTGTGAACCATTGACTAATATTTTTAATATATCTCTTCAAACAGGTGTAGTGTCTGATATGTGGAAGATGGTCAATGTAATTCTTGTTTTTAAAGAAAGGGACAAATCGTTACCATCAAATTACCGCCCAATAAGCCTAACATCAATTGTAGGCAAATTATTAGTCAATTATAGCTGATAGCATAAGAAGCCATCTTGATAAACATAATTTGATTAATGATACTCAACATAGACTCACAAGGGGCCATTCCTGCCTAACTAATTTACTTTCTTAAGTAAAGCTTTTGAGGCGTTGGTCACGATAAGAATTCGATATTGTTTATTTGGATTTTAGTAAGGCTTTTGATAGAGTACCACACCAGAGACTGTTAAAGAAAGTGGCAGCTCATGGCATTGGGGAAAACGTGCTATCATGGATCGAGTCATGGCTCACCAATAGGAAGCAGGGAGTGTGTATAAATGAGGTTAAATCTAAGTGGGGATCTGTAATAAGTGGCGTTCCACAGGGATCAGTTTCGGGCCCATTGTTGTTTATAATATATATAAACAACCTTGATGAGGGAATTACTAGTAAAATGATCAAATTCACTGATGACACGAAGATAGGTAGGATAATCGATTCAGACATAGATGTCGTGGAACTTCAGGAGGATTTAGACAAACTCAGTTCGTGGTCAGAAAAGTAGTAACATAAGAACATAGGAATGGAGGAACACTGCAGTTCAGATACAGTTCAATGTAGATAAATGCAAATATCAGAATGGTATACAATTACGACATACTGGTAACCAAGATGTCGTTGTCAGTGAATCTGAACCAAGATATCGTCTATTAATAGAACAACTTTACCAGCAGCTTAAAGAGGAGCTTAGGGTAGCTAAGCTCAAGATATAGCGATTGACAGAGGAAAACAAAAGGATTAGTAGTTTCATCCTGTTGTGAGTCCTCAGGTCAAGAGGGGAACCTGGTCAGTGACTGGGCAACAAGGAACGTAGCTGAAGATCAAGAATGATGAGTGACAGTAACAATGAAGAGCCAGAAGACTACTGTGGAAACTCTGAACCCATTTCGGCGCTACCCGACGAATGTGGGTTGTTTAGTGGGAACGTCACAATGAGCACCAAGGAAGCATTAGCAAACAAGGGTGAGTCGACATCCCTTGAAACCCCAGTGAAGACCATTCCAGTGAAGGCCATCCCAGCGAAGACCATCAAGAACATCACGACGATCTCTGCCGGTGAAGGTAAGAACATTGTTTTAGTCGGGGACAGACAGGTTAAGTTTATGGATAAGGCATTTTGTCTTAGGGATAGGAAGAGGAGGCAGAGGGTATCCTTTACTGGGGCTGGGATGAGGGATATTGTTAGCCATCTAGACGATATCATGAAAGGTAATGGGAGCAATCCTATTATCTGTCTCAGTGCGGGAGGTAACGATGTAGGCAGATGTAGGAGTGAAAACCTGATTAGCAGGTATAGGAGAACAATAGAGATAATTAGGAAGAAAGGTGGGAACCCTGTGATATGTGGCATTTTGCCCAGGAGAGGAGATGGAAATGAATGGTTGTCCAGGGCAATTGGTGTCAATTGCTGGCTGGACAAACACTGTAAGGAAAATGCAGTAAAATTCACAGACAACTGGGATCTCTTCTATGGCAGAAATGACATGTATGGCAGGGATGGGGTTCACTTATCTAGGTTTGGGGTGGGAGCACTGGCCAACGCAGTAGAGGGAGCTCTTAGGTCTTTAAACTAGAAATAAATAATGGAATGTGTTTTTGTGGAAAATCAGTGAATTCTCAGTGTAGTGACAGTGTGAGTTTTAGGGAAACCAGTTACAGGCAGAATGAGGTAGAGTTATTGGAGAATATTGGGAAGCCAGTGGCACTAGGTGACAAGGACAGTAACAGGTATAGTGGAGGAACAAATTAGCAGAAAGAGAAAAGAGAAGCGAGATTTTCTAAAAACACTGATGTTTTTGGCATAACTGAAATGTGGTTTAGTATAAAAAATTGGGACATGCCTGCTGAATGTCACATTCAGGGTTTTAAATTGTTCCAAGTAGGCAGAAGTATCGGAAAGGGGGATGGGGTGGCACTCTATGTCCGAGCTCATTTAAAATGTTGCATAAAAACGGGTATAAAGTCTGAAACACATACCGAGTCTGTTTGGGTAGAATTTTCAGAGGGGCACGAAAAAATTATTTTTGGCGCGTTGTACCGTCCCCCAAACTTGAATAGAGACCAAGGACGACTACTGTGGGAGGAAATTGTTAGAGTCACAAGGCACGATAACGTTGTAATTCTAGTGGACTTTAACTTTAGTCAGATTGATTGGAATTCCTTGACTGGGAATTTAGTCTAACGACTTCTTAGAAGTAGTTCAGGATTTTTTTTTTAAAGCAGCTTGTTACAGAACCCACAAGAGGAAGTAACCTGCATGAGTTGGTTATGGCAAGCAAGAAATCACTTGTTAATAATTTAGAAATTTCAGAGGAACTTGGCGCAAGCGACCACAAATCAATTACCTTAAGCCTTGAATGTAAGTATGATAGTAGGGATAACTCAGTAACGGTTCCAGATTTTCGCTTAGCAGATTACAATGAGCTTAAAGAACAACTATCATCTGTGGACTGGGGTAACGAAGAGATCTATCAATATGAGAGCTTTCTGAACATTATACATGCTGCCCAAAGTACATTTATTCCTTATAAAGAAATCAGATCGAACAGAAATGACCCTAACTGGATGAATAATAGGCTCAAATATATTTTAGGGCAAAAGAAAAGAATTTATAGGCATATCATAAAAGGTGAAGGTCATCTTATGAATCAATATATTGACATTAAGAGGAACGTTAGAAACAGGATAAGAAAAGCTAAACGGGACTACGAAATTAAAGCTGCTAGGGATTCGAGAGCTAACCCAAAAGGTTTTTCCCAGGTTTGTAGAACAAAAGTTAGACTAAAGATAGGTCCCCTTAAAAATAATTCTGGTCATCTTACTGACAAGGAGAATGAAATGTGTTCTATTTTTAATAATTACTTACTAACCTAACATTACACAACTCAGTTCTGGTTTCCATATTACAGAATGGATATAAATTCTTTAGAAAACATTCAGCGAAAAATGACAAAACTAATTCAGAGCATTAGAAATCTTCCTTATGAAAAAAGATTGATGTCCCTTAAATTACATTCACTTGTAAGACGAAGGATGAGGGAAGACATGATCGAAATATATAAGTGGAAGATGGATATTAACAAAGGGGATATAAATAAGGTTTTGAGGATATCTCTCCAAGAGAAAACTCACAATAATGGATTCAAATTTGATAAGTTTAAAATTAGAAA